TGCGAGGTCACACCCCCTTAGTGAGGCTCACACCCCTGGTGAGGCTCACACCCCCTGGCGAGGCTCACACCCCCTTAGTGAGGCTCACTCCCCTGGCGGGGCTCACACCCCTGCGAGGCTCACACCCCCTTAGTGAGGCTCACACCCCTGGCGGGGCTCACACCCCCTGCGGGGCTCACACCCCCTGCGAGGCTCACACCCCTGGCGAGGCTCATACCCCTGTGAGGCTCACACCCCCTGCGAGGCTCACACCCCCTTAGTGAGGCTCACACCCCCTGCGAGGCTCACACCCCAGGCGAGGCACACGGGGAATTTAGCGTCCACCCGCCTTAGCCCGTCTGTTTCCTCCTCTTGGAGCTCTGCGTTCACGCTCACCTCTCTCTGTTCCAGCATGGCCAACCTGAAAATTGAGCTGTCGAAACTGGACAGTGAAGCCTGGCCCGGGGCGCTGGATGTTGAGAAGGAGAAGCTGATGCTGATTCACGAGAAAGAAGAACTTCTGAAGGAGCTCCAGTTCGTCACTCCGCAGAAACGCACCCGAGACGAGCTGGAGCGCCTGGAGGCCGACCGCCAGCGGCTGGAGGCGGAGCTGCTGTCCGTGCGGGGCGCCCCCAGCCGGGCGCTGGCTGAGAGGTGGGTGTCCCCGGGGCCGGGCCGGGAGGCCTGTGGGTGTGTCTCAGCCGTGCTGGTGCCCTGCCCCTGGGCTCGGTGCTCTCGGTGCACTGGGCCCGGTGGCTCTTCCTGTCCAGCCATCAAGCACCCGTCCGCTGTCCCTCCGAGTCCCGCGTCCCGCAGCTCCTCCGGTCTGTGAGGATCGGGAAGGTGCCGAGGCAGATGCTGAAAGCGAAGGACGCAGAGCGTCACTGACCGCGGCTGGTAACCGTACCATAAACAAGCCCCTGATGAGCGAGGTTACCTGGACTGTGGGAGCCGCGAGGCTTCCTCTTCTGGGTTCATTACTCACAAGGATGCAAAAGGAGTTACTTCTCATTTCACAAGGAAGGTCAGTCGCTCCCTGGCCCTCTCCCCAGGTCACAGAATGTCCTCGTGGACTTTGTCCGTTGAGAGCCTCCTCTGCAGGAGGTGACATGTAAAGCGGTTTTCTCATCTCTGCGGGAAGGTGTGAATTGATCATTTAATCTTAAAAATCCGGTTCTGCAGTCAGATCAGCAGGACTGTTAGGCAGGGGACCCCCGGGTGTCGGTGTGAAGGCGCTCATCTGCACCTGATGACTGACCGCCGACACCTGTGCCAGCCGTGGACCAGGGGGCACCTGAGCCACCACACACCCTCAGGCCAACAGGGGCAGAGCAGTGTCCAGTCCCAGGTGACAGGAAAGAAGCTCACATTCGTGTAATCCCAGTGACGGGAAGTAACGTCCCAGGACCCAGCCGGACCCAGTCCCTCTGCTTTTTGTACCTTCTCAGCTCCTTGCCTTCTAATTCCTTGTGCTCTGTAAGTGTGTACGGTCATGTGTCTACGTAATACCAAACATTTGAGTCGGCAGCGTGGCTCAGTGGTTGAGTCTTGACCTATAAACCAAGAGATCACAGCTCGATTCCTGGTTGCAGGTTCGATCCCCAGTGTGGGGCGTGCAGGAGGCAGCTGATCCATGATTCTCTCTCATCATTGATGTTTCTCTCATCTCCCTTCCTCTCTGAAATCAATAAAAATGAAACAGTGTGGTGGGGAGGATGGAGGAGGGGGAAAAGTAAGTCTCTTGACGTCCCAGGTTAGGTGGCATCGTGGGTGGACTTGCCTGCCCTGCGTCTAACCGCCTTGGGAGAACTGGCCTTTGTAAGTGAAGATGTTGGTCAAGATAACGCGCAGCTGCAGCCTCACACCTTAGGGAACAGGAGAGTGTGCCAAGGGGAAGCCTCGCAGATGCCGTCCCGGTTCTGTCTTAAAGGACCGCAGCGCCTCACCGGTCCCTCTCCTTCCCCTGGGGATGGAGCCCGCAACCCGGCATGTGCCCTGACCAGGAATCGAACCGTGACCTCCTGGTTCGTTGGTCGATGCTCAACCACTGAGCCACACAGCCAGACGGATTTTACATTTTAGCGTGAAACACACTAGCGTCATGCTGTTGCCTCCTTAACACACCAGAAAGAGCCTTCGTTCGCTTGTGCACTATTTAGATTTATCCGTAATTAGAAAGGCTTCTGCTGCTCAGAAGACTCGGCTCTGAGGAGACATGGGGGCTTTCTCCAGACCTTCCTTCCTTTCATCTGTTTTGTATTAATATTTTTCCTTGTTGAGTTCTGATTTATGTTTAAGAGATTTAAAAAGTACGGCCTGTACTCCTTTTCAAAATCCACCTTTGAAAGCTGTGAATTAAGAATTTACCACCCTTTGAAGTCCTAAACAAAATGACAAGAATTACTTTTTTTACTTTAACATGTAATGAAATTGTGTTGGTGACACATCAAAGGAAAAATACCTATAAATAAAATATGGGCATGTTTTCTTACTGCCTAAAAACATACATAACATTTCAAAGGAGCTGGAAATTAGGGAAATTTTCTTTTTCTTCCCAGGAGAGGAGTTAATGTTTATATCGCCACCTTGCAGGGCGTGAGGCTCTGAGCAGGCTGGTCTGTGGTGATGTCTGAGCGCGCTCCACACACACTCTCCCCACTTGGTTGCCTCCACAGCCTCACAGGCAGGCTCAGGGGGGCTGTGCTCCCCATTGCACAGATGAGTAGGCTGAGGCCTGGACGAGTGGCTCTCCTGAGGACGCACGGCCAGCACAGCACCAGCCTGGACACCGTGGTGTTCCGCGTCCCCTGCCCCCCTCTGAATGGCTCGTTTCCATGACGTCTGAGGGCCCTGAGATGACGCAGCGGCCCTCGGGCAGGCTCCTAGCTGCCTAACCTGGGAGCTGAGTGTGTTTCCAAATGGCTTCTTCGCGTACACAGTTCCGGAACATCTGATTTTCACAAACCCCCGACTCCAGTGCAGTGAAGCCACGTGCACGGAGCTCCACGATGATCTGGTGCGGCGATGGCTGTCCTGCGGACGGAGGGACAGTCATAGCTGTGTCTCTCGCACAGACATTTGGACTAATTGGTTTCTTAATCACTAACGTTCCCATCGAATTAGGATTGGAATTGTTATCACTAAACATTCCTTTGGCACAGTCTTACCTATTCAGTACCTCGGTGACCTGTTATGATTCTCGTCATTGCTGTTACATTGTTCTAGGACTGGGAGCCCAGCACGGGCCTGTGGGAGTCTGTGACCTCGGTTAGTGCCTTGTGTTCCTTCTCACTCTCTTTCTGTAATTCGAGAGAGCGTGAGGTTTTTCGCCCGTTGAAGAAAATCGTAGAAAACCAAATTCACAGCATCCTCAGTTATGCGAACGAGGCGCTCCTGCCCACTTCGCTTCCTGCTGGGGCTGCTCCCTCGCCATCAAGTTCACAGGCGCCCCCCTTCATGCGCATAATGTTTGTATGATAATAATCTTCCCCTTCAGTCTCCGTGTTTTCTCATCGTCATTTGAAAATATAAATTCATTTCTGTGGTTTTTTTTCTAGATTGAAACTGGAAGAGCGAAGGAAGGAGCTGCTCCAGAAACTCGAAGAAACGACCAAATTAACTACTTATCTGCACTCAGAGCTGAAAAGGCAAGTCTCTCCGGTTCTCGGTTCTCAAGGGGACGTCCTTTCCTGACTGCGTTCAGGAATGTTTTCGTCCACCTTTGATTGCTTTTCTCCTTATGTTCAACTGTTTAAAAGAAAAGAACGTAAGTTATACTAGTACAATTCAAACGTGAATGACCAAACTTAAGGTTGCATAGACTTTTCTTTCATGAACCTCCAGGTGGCATTTGAAACACATTTGAAATATCTAGTGGGAAGCAGGTTTTTTTTAGCTTCAGTACACACTTAGGGAAATGACATATCTTGTCCACATCAGCCCTTCTTTTGAAAGGGGGGCGGCAGCTAAGTCCGAGAACATCGTCACTATTTAAACACACACACGAGAGGGGAGGTGGGGGAGCCCAACTCTGTCAGCTCTGCTTCCTCACCGCGCCTCACTTCTCTCAGAAAGTGCCATTTGTTCAGCAAAGGGACTGCACTAGCACTTGGTCCTGTTTACCCGTCTATTTTAAATGACATCCTTGCTTCTGGATCCCTCTGCGGGTAGATTTGCCAATAGGGATTTGATTCCCCCGCTTTTGTGTCTTTTGCGAGAGAGGGGTGGTTTTGAATACGAGTAGGGTTACTGCTGAAAGAGTAGCAGAGAGCCAGGTTGCAGTGTTCATGAAGAAGCCCATCACGGGCTGTTCTGGCCTCACGGGGTCTGAAGAGCCAGCGGTGCTGGGCCTGGGCCTGGGCTTCCTGATGAGTCCAGTTTTGACCATCGCGCTTCTCCTCTCGCAGCCTCTCCGCCAGCACCCTGTCCATGTCGTCCGGGAGCAGCCTGGGCTCCCTGGCCTCCAGCCGGGGGTCCCTGAACACCTCCAGCAGGGGCTCGCTCAACTCCCTCAGCTCCAGCGAGCTCTACTACACCAGCCCGGGCGACCAGCTCGACGTGGACTATCAGTATAAACTGGACTTCCTCCTGCAAGAAAAGGGCGGTTACGTACCTTCCGGGCCCATCACCACCATCCATGAGAACGAAGTGGTCAAGTCCCCCAGCCAGCCCGGCCAGAGCGGTCCCTGCGGGGCGGCCGCCGCGGGCCCTGCGCCCCTGCCGACCGAGGCCCCCAAGTCTGTGACGTCCCTGTCCTCGCGGTCCTCCCTGTCCTCCCTGTCCCCTCCGGGCTCCCCCCTGGTGCTGGAAGGCACCTTCCCCATGTCTTCCCACGACGTCCCTCTCCACCGGTTCACCGCCGACTTCGACGACTGCGACGTGAGCAGCCACTTCGCAGACATGGGCCTCGGCGACAGTCAGATCCTGCTGGACACTGACGCCGGAGGCGCGTCCCAGGCCCTGTTAGAGGACAAAGACCTGCGCGAAGGCGCCAGGGAGCCCTTCTACGAAGGCACTGCAGGTACCTGTGGGCGTCGCTGGCCTGGTCCCCGCTGGGCCGTCTTAAGGGGAATGATGGGAGGGTGACTTTTTCCACTTACACCAATGGTGCTGATCCCCCTGCTCTTTTTTAATTTGCTTCGTCTAAGGAGTGTTTAGGTGATATCCCTAGACACTCCTCTTTATCAAATAGGAATCGCCTTCCCTGGGTGATGATTGAGTCACTGGTTTCTGCTCTGCGTGTGGCAGTGACCGGGACGTGCTCTGCGGTTCTGGAAGGACAAGGCCGAGAGGAGAGCTTTCTGTGCAGAGCTGGCCTGAACCAGACGAGAACCAAAGCCATTAGCATCCTGCTCGTTGGTGCTGGCTCGGTGTTCAGGCTGCCCCGGGGATTCTGTACCAACACGGGTTTGTTTCCGGCCAGACGCTCGCAGACACGCTCCCTCTGCCTGGTGTAGGGTGGCCCAGGGACGGTGCCGCGCTGCCACCTGCTGGCCTCCGTGCTCCTTGCAGCAGCTCTTCCTCGTTCTGCTCAGACAGGAACGGAGACTTCTCTTTTCCGGGGTAGTTTCCCTCTGCGGAGCCGATGTGGCTGCAGAGAGGACAGCGGTGCCCTGTTGGCACGCGAGCACAGCTGTGGTCGAGGAGGGCGGTCTGCCATGGCACTGGCCTGAAAACGAAAACGGAAAGTAGCCCCCCGCGTGGGCCCCGGAGCCCTTCCACACTGCACTCGTGACTGCCAGATCACAGCCCTCTTCGCGGGCGTTTTCCTTGCTGATTCAAGGACCCTGTGTATTGGTCTTCATTGCCCCTAACTAAGAACTAACAATACTTATTCGGCCAGTTCAGCATGTTTAAGATAGTGAATAACCCCCTCTTGTTGACGTGAGTGCCAGCCTATGAAGAAGCGTAGCCC